TAAATGGGCACACCAGCAGAGGGTCAAGGATGAGAAGGCTAGAGGGGACAGAAAGCTGGTCGAGTGGAAATGGGGACCCCAAGGTCGAGAAAGGGAGAGTGTTGACTCGTCACAGGGTTGGCAACCAATGTCACAAAACAATAGTGTATTAATCGTTTAATGAGAAACTAATTTGCTCTGTAAACCTTCATCTAAAGCACAATTTTTAAAAAGGAAGAAAAAAGTCTTTAACCCTACCTTACATTAAACATAAAATTCAATTCCTGGCAAACTGCAGACCTAAATTTGAAAGATAAAATAATAAAGCCTCAAGAAAATAATAAAAGAGGTTATCTTCATAACCTTGTAAAAGACAAAGATGTCTTAAACAGTATACAAAAAAGCACTAACCAAGAGAAAAGACTTCCCTTCATTAAAATTCAGAATTTCAATTTATCAAAGGCATCATTAGGAGTATGGGAAAAGATATTTGCAATACTCTGACAGAGGACATAAATCCAGGACATAGAAGAACCCTAAAGTCAATAAAAAATACAAAACAGACAATGGAATTTTTCTTTTAAGTGGGCAAAATATTTCAACCAGTACTTTATAACAGAGGATATCCTAATGCCAACAGGCATATGAAAATGTGCTGACCTTCATTAGTTATCAGGGAAATGAAAATCAAAGCCACTGTTACGCCACCAGCAGAACAGCTAAAATTTTGAAAACTGAAGATACCAAATGTTGACAAGGATGTGGAGAACGCTCACATACTGCTAGCGGGAGCGTCAACTGGTACTGTTTGATACTACGTATTAATGCTGAACACAGAGTAACCTGGGACACAACACTTCCACTCCTGACAGTATTCTCCACAGAAATGTGTATGTACAAGTATATTCATAGCAGTATTATTTCTAATAGCCCCAAAGTGGAAACAATCCAAATGTCCATCAATAGTATAATGAATAAATTATAGTATATTCATGCAATGAAATACTATACAGCCATAAATATACAGGTACTCCCTGACTTACGATGTATTCAAGTTATGACAAACTGCACTTACATCAGAACTGAACTCCGACTTACTACCTGTAGTACGCACAATGCTGCAGCACGTATGTTTATGTTTCTATGTAATGTTTCCAATTCCGAAGAAAAATAAAGACTGGATTTATAAAGATGATGAAAATGAAAGGCAATTAAAATAATGAGGTATTCAACCTACATCAGAACCGACTTATGACAGAGTCGTTGGAACAAAACCCCATCTTAAGTCGGGGACTACCGATGAATTACACAGCACAAAGACTGAGTCAAACAAGCTATCACAGGAGTATACCGCATGATCCCATCAAGCAGGCAAAACTAATCTAAGTGGCAGAAATCAGAAGAGTGGCTTCCTCTGCAGTTGTTTAACCATCAGAAAGGGCAGGAGGAAGGCTTTCTAAGGCGCGGGTAAAGACGTATATATACATATAGAGACCAAGTAGGTGTGTTCACAGTGTAAAATTTCATCAAGCTCTACATTTGTCATTTGTGCACTTGTCTGTACGTAATATATTTTAAAAGTTTACCCAAAAAACTCTATTTATTCTCCCTGCTCATTGCAACATTCAACAGTGGAAACTCTTATCTCCACTGGCCTTTCACTCCTGTTTCCTTCCTCTGACTCCTTCGCTGGTTTACTTCCTGCTATAACCCTCTAAATGTGGACTTGACCCAGAGCTCAGCGCACACTGCTCTTGCTTTGCACTACATGTGTTGGAGAGCTCATTCCCCAGCATGGCTTCAACCTCAGATAGGTAACACTTGTCCTTCTGATCCATTCCCACTGCCACTCCCAATCTTCCTGCAGAGGGCAGGGCATGTGCTACTCCAAGCATATGCCTTTCTTTTCTTCTTTCCTCACCCATAAACTATGGCAGTGGTTTCTTAACTGATCAAAGTTATCTTCCTGCTTCCATTCACATGTCAAACTGAACTTCCTAAATGGCACATCATCCACCTGCTCATAAATATTCAACAACTCCTCCAAACTATAGATATAATTTAATCTCTCGAGGCTGAGGTTCAAGTCACAATCTGGTCCCTATCTACACCCCCAATTTTATCTCTTACTAGTCACTCACCTGCTCTAATTAAAAACTATCTACAAAAACATTTTTTTTAACCAAACCCATTGTCCATATTCCAACCAAATGTCTTTCCTCAAAGAAGTCCCTCAACCTAGAACATTCTTTCCTCTCCTTTACACTTGCCCACTCTCCATTCAAAATGCAGACTTTAAACTACTTCAGTCCACGTACGTTTATCATTACCTGGAATGTTGATGGCATTTCCATTCACTTGGTAGATCACCTTCACCATCAAGTTGTGTGTTTATGTGTAACACTAAAAGATCCTCAGAGAAAACGACAGTGTCCTACACCTCCCAGATATATAAACACGCCAGTTGTCACTGAGTTGATTCTGACTCATGGCAACCCCACGTGTGTCAGAGTAGAATTGTGCTCCATAGGGTTTTCAGTGGCTGGATTTTTGGAAGTAGACTGTCAGACCTTTCTTCCAAGTTACTTCTGGGTAGACTCAAACCTCCAACCTTTGGGTTAGCAGCCAAGCATGTTAACCGTTTACACCGCCCAGGGAATCCAGATATATAAAAGCAAGCGATTAATAAATACTGGTGGTGACGTGGTGCTAACGATCAACCAGTAATCTGAAGAAGTTTTAAAAAATTAAAGCAGACAGCTTCTTACCAACTACAAATTGAACTGGATTCTTCTTCTTTATTGTAGTAATATTTTGGCTTATTTAAATAAGAATAAACACTGGAATCAGTTGAACAGAAGTAAAGGGACTAATAATAACAAAGCCATGGAATTCTGGAATTTGAACGGGTAGAAGTAGACTACGTCAACCTAGCACATGGCACATGAGAGATAAAGAGAAATAAGCGCCTACGTAAATTAATTATGAGCAGAAGCACGTGGATTGTAAAGAAATAGATTACAGAGTTATTGCTGGCAGACCCAATGTCTGTTTTACCTATCACAAACATGCATAAGGCAATATTGGTCAGAAGGTAACTACTTAAATGAATAATTAATGAATGAGCACATGGATGTATGGATGTTACTAAACTTACAGGGACTTTATTAACTTGATGTTATCAACTAACACTATATCCAACACCGGTCTGTCTCTTCCCAATAGATAACTGAACACAAAGCGTTACTGATAATGCAAGCTTAAATTATTTTTCGGAGCTTAAACTTAGAATGATAATTTACTTAACAGTAGTTTGCACACAGGTGGTTTATGGACTTCTGGGTGCAGCATAATGAATACTCAGTACAGCCCTTCTAGCCACGGTCTGTGTGACTCACACACAATGACTGAGTGGGACTATGCAAATGAGATAGATGGAACCTGTGATGGTTGGGGTTATGTGTCAACTGGGCTAGGCTATGATTCTCAGTATTGTACGGTTGCCCTCCATTTCTTGTGTTGTGGATCCTGACCTCTACATACTGATGAAGCAGGGCTGGGGGAGGGTGTGTCTTGGGGCGAAGCCTTGCAAGAGGGTGTGACTCGAGTCCCACCCTTACTCAAGTTACGCCTTTCCCTGGGGTGGCCTGCATCTAAGACATATGTGTGTGTGTGTCCCCGTGGGGCTGTCTCTCTGTATCTGGATTCTGCTTCTGGTTCGTGATCAACTGACCTCTGGTTCTTGGGACTTGAACCAGAGGCCTACTGTCTGACCTGCCAATTCTGGGATTTGCCGGCCTCCACAGCCCCTTGGGGTGGCGGTCTATCCTGTGACCTGATTCGCCAGCTTCCACGGCCTTGTGAGCCTGCAGCCTACGGTCTGAACTGCTGGTTTGGGATCGTCAGCCCCTGCAGCCATGTGAGTGGGTCGGGAGAAGCCTATGCATGACCCACGGATTTGGGACTTGCCAGCCTCCACAACCACCTGAGCCATTTCTTTTATACGGTTTGTGAGTTCTGTGAGAAGTTGCAAATAATCAGGGAACCCAAAGGCAGGAGGAGAGTGCTGAGGGTGGAGAGAGGAGTTGATGTTAGAGATGATGGAGTGGTACAGCAGCTTGGAAAAGCTGGACATTTGGGACATCTTTAACCTCCACCTCATGGGAACCAGCTTTGTGCTGATCCTTCTAAAAGATATGATTCATTTAAAGGGTTTCTTAATAACTTCACATAAATGTTCTACATTGAGTATCAACCAGTTCTAAAATTTTATACCAACAAACAAAAGAATAATAAGATGCTTATGAATAATTTTCTAATTTTTTTATTAAATTAAAATAAAGGATAATTATTTAATTATTAAAATTATATATATTATGTATTTAATAAAAGAAACTGGCAATTTCTATCTTTAGAAAAAATCTGTTGTAATTTCTGAGCTTTGTATCTCTATGTGTTTTTGCCAACATTTAAAAAGTAAGGAATGGGGGAAGACAGATGCCATAAAGACGCATCTACAAGTCCAGGACTGTCAAAGACTGCCAGCAGCTACCAGACGCTGAAAGAGACAAAGGACCTGATGCCCTGAATTCAGGCTCCAGAACTGGGAGAAAATGAATTTCTGCTCTTTAAAGCCACCCACCTGAAAAAAAAAAAAAAAAGAAAAAAAACAAAGAAAAAAGCCAACCACTTGTGGTATTTTTGTTCTGTCAGCACTAAGAAACAAAGACACAATGCGTATTTACGTATTAAAGGCTCTGAGAAATCCCGTAATAAAGATGAAGCTAGAGCAAAAAAAAGGGTAAATAATGTACCTTTACATTATCCACTAAAGCAAATTTTAAACATAATTACAACTGCCTTCTTCATTCTTTTACCTTCAGTTATTATTCAGCTGTCAGTTTATCTGCTCTTCTAACAACTGTTGACTATGTAACTAGCCTGCTATAAATGACACGGAGCTTACTCCGCACAGAGAAGAGCACGCACGGCACACAGAAGGAAACACGTCAGCGCCATACCTGGGTTATTATTCACATTACTTTTGGGTGGTTTCTGAACCGGTTTGGGAAGCGTAGATTCTGTCAAAGCTTTATTAGCAACCGCTTGTTGGGCCTTCTTTATACTGCTCCCTTCGGATTCCCATGTCTGCTCACCAAGACTCAGCTGCACTGAGAACATCTTAGAAAACATAAATAGACAATGAAAACATTACAATTTTTCAGGAAGTAAAACGTGTGAAAATTAAATACATCACAGAATCAGAATTTTAGAGCTACGGATGAACTCAGACATGACTTGCTCCAAAAACCTTCCAATTCTACTTAGTACAAGAATTCGGTTCTACTTATTCAAAGGCTTAACAGCAGCTCTAAGTGTACGTTTTGGGCAGAATAAATCAAGAACTCTCTTCTCTAAATGGAATCATATTGTTAATGTAATTCAAATAGTCCTCAAAAAAGTAGAATAAGTCCAAGTACAAACAAAAACTAAGAGAAGTCAAAGGCCTTCCTTTAGACACTTTTATAAAATCTAATTTTTTAAACTTTATACTTGGCATATTCTAGTCAATGAGTGAGGCAATCCAATTAAATATTCTATCACAAGAAACTCTCTCAACCCTCCACTACCAACATTTAACCAGTCACCAAATTCTGTCATTTCTAACCTCATAAACACTTCTCACATCTCCCTCCTTCTCTCTCTGCCTCTGACATTGCATTGGATCCAGCTTTTCATCCCCTTTTGTCTGTACATAATAATCTTCCAGCTGACTCCTGCTAAAACTATCTTTTTAAAATTCAGACCCAATAGTATCACCCCCCACCCCAATACCAGGTTAAAAACTTTTAATTTTCTCCATTTTGGCACAAAGACTGTCTGTCCATCCTCATTTCACACCCGTCCTTCCCTCGCGTCTCCTCCATTCCGTTCACACCATACTTCTATACAAGCCCCAAAACCTGTTGTTCATCTTTAAAAATTTACAATCAGGATACAGATGTATATATAATCCACAGATTTACTTCACCGAATCCTTACTAATTTCTAAGAATACAAAGTGTTAAAATACTTAATAATTACAAAGGGAAAAAAGGATCTTTGCAGGAAGGAGTCAGGTAGAAAACACCTTAAGCAAGTGATCGAAGTTAGCATCATCAACAGTCAGACAAACGGGCATCATGTGCCTCCTGGGGTGACTCGGTAAGTACACAATATCAACTACGAGGTATTCTGAATCCAATCACAGGGTAACTAACCACCAGACAGATCTGGACTGTGGAATATCCTGAGACATGAGACAACTGGCTTGGACTCCAAAAATGTCAATGTGATGAAAACACTACAAAAGACGAGGAGGTGACGAATCAAAGAAAACAGGAGACGTGAAAAAGAGATGATAACCAAACGCAACGCGTGATCCTTGATTGGATTCGTATTAAGAAGAAAAAGAAAAAAAAAAAACACTATAAAGGATATTTTGGGGGACAACTGGAAAAATTTGACTGAGGACTATATATTAAATAATATTACCAAGGCTAAATTTCTTAAGTTACGATAATATTGTGGTTATGCAGAAGAATATGTCTGGTCTTGAGATAGTTATGTAAACATTTAAGGGTGAAGTGTCAATATCTGTAATTTGCTTTGAAATTGTTCAAGAAAAAAGTATATGTCTACACACAAAGAGTGATATAGATAAAGAAAATGGGCAAATATATTAATCATTAGTGAATCTGAACAATATACAAGTATCCATTTGTATCTTTCAATTTTTCTTATAGGTTTCTAACTTTTAAAATAGAGTTAGAAAAAAAACTGCAATCATTTGAAATTTAAAATACATACATACATGTTAAAAGTGATTAAATTTTATATGATCATGATTCAGTTTAAAATATATACCTAAGGCATATTTTTAACATATTTACCTTATTTTAAATGATTTTTCAATGACTAGCTTCTTCTTTTTCCTTCTTCAAATTATGGTATTTTACAAACAACTCTACCACAAAGATGAGAAACTTTAAGGTTTTACATCATATATATTTTACATGTTAGAAAACATAAATACCCACGCGAAAACCAGATCTTGAGATTCGGATCCTAAGATGACGTCACGGAAGCACATTAAACTTACTCTCCATACTCCCTGGGCCTGAACGCTCCTAAACACCAATCACATAAATCTCATTGTCTACTGGATATTTCCACAAACTCATGAGGTATAAAGATAAATAAAACATCATTCCCTCCACTCTCCCTCCAAAATCAGTTCATACTTCAGAATGTTCAGTCCATTATTCTCCCAGTAATTCAGGTTCAAAACCTCAATGACTTCTTTGTTTGTCCTTGCCATCCTAAGTCTTCCTTAACATCTCTATATTGCTCCTTCCTATTTCTACTGGAGCACTGGTGGTGCAGTGGTTAGGCGCTAGGCTGCTAACCAAAAGGTCAGTGGCTCAAAACCACCAGCCACTCCTCAGGAAAAAGACGTGGCAGTGTGCTTCCATAAAGAGTTACCGCCTTGGAAACCCTATGGGGCAGCTATGACTCGGGATCAACTCAAGGGCAGTGGGTTTGTTTTTTGTTTTGTTTTTTGTTTTATTTCTACTGTTACCATTTTAGTTTAAGGCCCTTAAGCACTCAGAATATTTCATTTACCTCCTGCCTCTAACTTTCCTTGCCTTTTAATTATCCAGATGGCACCATTTTCCATGTCTCATAGGCCAGAAATCCTGGTGTGATCTTCCTTGTCTCCTCCATTTCTCTCTCTCCATTCTCTCCTGCATCCAATTATCAAACTATTAATTCAGTATCAGAAATGTTTCTCAGATCTGGCCTGCCCTCTATACTCTTTGCCACTGTTTTGGTGAAGAACATCAATCTCTCCCCTGAACTACCACAAGATCATCCTGAGTAATTCCCTTACCACCAAACTTGTCCCAGTCAGACCATCCTTCTTACCAACATTAATATTCTCTAAAAAAAACAAAAGTCTTCAACTCAATCATCTACTTTTCTAAAAACTTCTTTTAAGAATACCACTGCAATAAAAAAAAAAAGTTTAGAAATTCTGAGCAGGAATTCTGCAGTCACACTGTTTAAGCTGTGGCTCCACCATTCACTATGTAAACACTAGGGACCTTACTTATTCTTTCTAATGCTCAGTTTCCTCAGCTCTTAAATGAAATGGGGCTAATAAGAATACATAGGATGGTTGTGAAAATTAAAATGGAATGGTTTGAAAGGCAGAGAATGTCAAGCTGCATAAAAAAGTCAAAACAACTATATGCCGCTTACAAGAAATGCACTTCAAATATAAAGATAATGGAAAACTATATGTGACATGAAAGTGTACGTTTTGATTCAATGGCTATACTAATATCAGACAAAGTAGATTTCAGAGCAAAGAATACTACCAATGATAAAGAAGGTCATTTCCTAATGGCAAAGGGGTCAATTCATCAAAAAGATGTAATCTTAAACCTTTATACATCTAACAGCATGGTTTCAAAATATATGAAGCAAAAATTGATAGAACTGCAAAGAGAAATAGAAAAATCCACAACTAAAGTCAGAGATTTCAATATTTTTCTCTCAATACTTGATACAATCCATAGGTAGAATACCACCAAAGACAGCAGACTTGAACAAGAGTATCAACCAACTTAATCTCACTGACATTTTTAGAACACTCCACCCAAGAAGAGCAAAACATACATTTATTCTCAAATTTACATGGAACATTTACCAAAAGAAACCATATTCTGGGCTATAAAACAAGTCTCAGTAAATTCAAAAGATTTAAGTCATAGAAATCTGTGACCACAAGGATTAAATTAAAAGCCAGTAAGAGAAAATAACACAATTCTAAATAATCCATGGGTAAAGAGGAAATCCAAAGAGAAATTAGGAAGTATTTTAAACTGAATGAAAATGAAAACACAACATATCAGAAGATGCCACTAAAAGAGCACTTAGGGGGAAATTTATAGCACTAAGTACCTGCCTAAGAAGAGATGAAAGCTCTCAGATAAATGACTTTAGCTTCCATCTTAAGAAATTAACCCCAAAGTAATAAAAATCAAAGCAGATAGCAATGAAATAAAAAATAATAAAGTGGAAAAAAAAATCAATGAAACCAAAAGCTGGTTCTCTGATAAAACCTCTAGCCAGACTGATCAGAGAAAAGAGAGAAAATAAAAATTACCATTATCAAGAATGAGGGAGGTGACATCACTATAGTCTACAGATATTAAAAGAGAATATTTTGAACCTTATGCCAATAAACTCCACAACTTAAATTCCTTGAAAGATACAAATTACCAAAGCTCACCCAAGAAGAAATAGGTAACCTGAATAGTGCTACGTAAAGAAATTGAATTTGTAGTTAAAAACTCTCCCACAAAGAAAACTCTAGGCTCAGATAGCGTCAATGAATTCTACCAAATATTTAGGGAAGAAATAATATCAATTCTACTGAAGAAGAGGGAATACTTTCCCACTTATTCTTTGAAGTCAGCATTACCCTGATATCAAAAACTGACTAAGATATCACAAGGAGGGAAAAAAACCCTGCAGACCAATATGTCTCATAAAGGTAGACATAAAAGTCCTTAACAAAATATTAAGAAATAAAATCCAGCAATACAGAAAAGGAATTAACATACTATAACCAAGTGTCTTATTCCAGGAATGCAAAGGATGGGTCCACATTTGAGAGTCAATCAATGTAATTCACCATATCAAGAGATAAAAAAGAAAAACCATATAATCATTTCAATCAATGCAGAAGCATATGACAGAAGTCAACACTTATTCATGTTAAAAACTCCCAGTAAACTAGAAAGGAGTTTCCTCAACCTAATACAGGGCATCTACAAAAGGTAATGTCATAATTAATGGTGAAAAACTGGATGCTTTCCTCTTAAGATCAGGAACAGACAGACATGTCTGCTCCCACTACTTCTATTCAGTGTTGTACTGGAGATTTTAGCCAGTCTGACCAGAAATTAAATGAAAGACATCCAAATTGGAAAGGAAGATTTAAAACAGATGACATATAAAATACCCAACAGAAGCTACAAAATAGTTACTAGAACTAATAATGAGTTCAGCAAGATTGCTGGACACTAGGTCAATATACAAAAATCAACTGTATTTTACATGCCAGCGGT